TGATGGGAAGTTATTCGGGACCCACCAGTCCCGACACCGGTGCGAATGCATTGACGACTTTGGAGAGAAATGCGGTGGTTGCAGATGTGTCGGACGTCGCCATTCGTTATCGCATTGAGAGAACAACAACTCGCCTAAGGATGAGACTGTCCATTCGCAGGCAGAGGCAACTCATGCAACAAGTAATGGAGACACCCGATTGTGTGTCGTTATCAGAAGCCATTGTGCAATTCTGTTGTGCCATGGCATCGGGTGTGATCCCGTGGGCAACTCCGAGATGGTGGATGAGAAGGATGGGAGGGACATGGGTGGATCTTTGGGAGATGGAGAACGCGGAGGAGGGCTACTATAAGGAGAAGTTGTGGATACCCCGTAGAGTGTTCCGGGAGATCGTTACTTAAGACGCTGTCCCCTCATCTGCAGCAGAGGGTACCATTCTACAGGGTGCCTTTGATGTCGGATCACGCATACGCGCTTTATCGTTGGGCAAGCGGGGAGACTTACGAGAGCAGCACATCGTCATTTGGCATAATAGGACGCGCATCAGGATTGATTGCACTGGAGGACGTGACTCGGGCGCTTCTCAGGGTGTACCGGGCCTTTTGGGTTACGGCGGTTGGTCATTCTGCGCGTGTTCGAGGCGAAGGGTTTTCCCAACTGCTATGGCTGCATAGACTGCACATACATCTATGTGAACAAAGCAGCAAACGCGCCATCCGATAACTACTTCGACTGGAAGCATCGTTTTTCGGTGATTGCGCAGGTGGTTGTGGACTTGGACTTGCGCGTGACAAACGTTTTCGTCGGATATCCCAGGGGTTGTCATGACATCCGGGTGCTTCAGCTTTCCAGTCTGTGGACCCGCGCCGAGAAGAGGGATCTTTTCTGTGAACCTGTTGTGCTGCTGCCGTTCGGGGTGAGAACACACCGGTACATCATTGACGATAACTGCAATCCTCTGATGGAGTGGATCATCATGCCTTATGAAGATACCGATCAATTCGCCGACGAGGAGAGGATTGAGAACAAGCAAAATGTCGCAAGAGGAGCGGTGCAGAGAGTTTTCAGAAGGCTAAAGGGGATCTGGAGGGTTTTCCTTCGCACACACAAAACGAATATGGACACTCTCCCGCAGCAATTGATTCTGCAAAACATACTCCTGGATGTCGCATCATGTCGGTATAGACTTCGACAAAAACTTGTTGTGGGAGGTGGACGCGAATGGTATGCGTTGGTGAGTGGACTTGGGGTTGGATCACTCACCTCGCCCCATTGCAAAAAACTTCAATCGGCCTCGGGCACTAACCTTACATGAAACGCGAGTGCACGCACGAAGTCTCTCTGTGGTGGTAGCTTGATCGTTGATCTCTTACGAAGGACGAAGATTGTGATGTTCGGGATTGGAGGGGTGTTGAAGTACCTGGATAGCAGTGTCGTGTAGTTCCATCGCTGCCCGACTACGTGCAGTGTTTTTGTTTTTTTTTTTCAGTTTTTTTTTTTCCTCTTCACTTGCCTTTAGTTTTCTACTATTGTTGAACATTTGAAAAGCAATGAAAGGGTGTCCATCACCGATTTTATGAATACGTCGCTTTCACCTTTATTGTGTGTTTTGAACCTATCCAACGCGGCTTGTTTTTGCCCTCCTCTGACACCTTCAATGGTTTTTGTTCATCCTCCCTCCATAGGGTCATTCATAAGTCGAATTGTGAACCGACATGCGATGAATAAGTTCCTGGTTTGTCAACAACCGTCTGGGCAGGTTATGGTTTGAAGTTTCTCCCAAGTCAGTTTTTTGTTCAATGTTTTTCGTATGTCTTGGGTAATAGTGTGAGCAAACACACATCGAAAGGTCTAATTATAAACAATTTTAATCATTGTTTTCTGAAATGTGTTTCTTGTTTCTGCCTCTTCCGCAACTCCCCAGTGCATTGGACCACTTAATGAATACATTTATCAATGAATGAACCGATTAAAACGTCAATCGATCAATCAATCAACAAATCAGTCACTCAATCTACCATTCATTCAATCAATCAGTCAATCAATCAATCAATCATTCAAACAATCAAACGACCATTCAATCAATCCATCAACCAATCGATCAACCAGCCAATCAATCAATCAATCAAAAAAACAATGAAGCAATCACTCAAACAATTAACGAATCGATCAAGCAATCAAACAGTCAATCATTAAATCAATCATTTAATCAATCATTAAATCAATCAATCAATTAATCAATCAATCAAACAAACAAACAATTATTCAATCTAAGACTTTCAATCAACCGATCAATGAATGAATGAATGAATCAATCAATCAATTGACCGATCAATCCATCAATCCATCAATCAATCAATCAATCAATCAATCAATCAATCAACGAAACAATCAATGAATCAATGAATCGATAAATCAATCAATCAATCAATCAACGAGTCAAGCAACCGACCAGTTGAAGAAATAGTTAAGCAAGCCACCGATGCAAACCTGTATGTTG